ACAGCAAACAACTAGGTATAGTTACATTATCCAGCTTCTGAATCATTCAGACATTTATTTGTCATCCAGTTTCAACAGTTTCGTCTGAAACCAAGGGTTGAAAGTTGCGATACTTCACAGCACGCTACAGCTGACGCTCTGCCCCGCTTAGATTACAAACTTAGAAATGACTACGATATATTCTGTTTTCCACAAGCACTGACTCCCCCTCCAACCCGCTCTATCTCCAGAAAATTTTCAATAACAGATTTTGACCGCTCTCAATTAAGTGAGGATCTTTCAGTCATTCTTCAAAGCGGTCCATAGCCCACTGACCACCTAAATCGGAGTTTATGCTACTGGCAAACAACCAAAATGGCAACCTCAAAGAAAGGGATGTTACTAAAACGAGGAGCGGGGAGCGGGGAGCGGGGAGCGGGGAACGGAAGTCAGGGAACGAGTTGTCAGCGGAAACCTCCACAAAAATGGCGGCGGTCCAAAAAACGAGAGAGAGAAAGAAGAAGACAAAGAAAGGAATTCGTGCCTTGGTTGAAATCAGGTGGGGACGAAATTGCAAATCAGACTCACATTTTACGTTTACGTTTTGAGCAGGTGGTATGTTTTTTCGATATTCAACCTGTTTCATTTACAATATGATAAGGTCTTAGGTCTTAGTTTTCGAGACACCTGGCACACTCACATTACTCCTGGATTACTCCGTTTACTTTAGACCGTCGCTTAATCCTGCCTGTTTGTCCCCCTGAATGTTCTTTTTCCCACTCAGACAAACTCTTGGAGAGTAAAGGTTTTATCCAAGCCCATTATATGCCCTGTTTTGGGAATGCTTGGTAAATAACTCGCAGGCATTGTAATGAGAAATAAACGTGGAATTTATTAATGCATGTTCTAAGTTCCGCAAAAGTTATTCTCAGGCTATTCAAAGACATTCATACCCTGCGAGCAGTGGTTTCTCCAGGCCAGGCGCCACGGGAGAGAAACTGGTCCCACTGTTTGGCGGCTTGGCCAGAAACAAAATGCCTATAACAAACCCTCTCATGTTCAAACTTATCGCCTGTAAGGTCACGGCGACTTATGGCAGAAATCTATGCTCGTCTTCTTCTGGTGGTCAACTCCTCCATCATTTCGCCCTCGTTCTTAACGACTTTCGGAACGCGACTAAATTTCACTGCAGAATCCTTTTTTTGTGAACTTTTTCCACTCTTGTTGCCACACCCAACAGCGATAAGTTTGAACATGAGAGGGTTTGTTATAGGCATTTTGTTTCTGGCCAAGCCGCCAAACAGTGGGACCAGTTTGATGTTGACTGGGTTGCAACATTACCTCTCGGCCACACAAAGAGACTGCAGCGGATTGATCCTTAACTCAATGCTGACAGAGCTGAACGACGGAAGAGACGACAAGCAATAATTGATCGAAAAATATCAGAAAAGATGAAGAAGTTGAATGAGCCAGGGGAGACTGTAGAAAGCATCTTTAGTGAGGTCAAACACACATGTACAACACAGGAAGCTGAGGAAAGTGATCAATTACAAGACGGCAACAGTGCAGATGAACAGATGGGTGAGCTGGAGATGGAGATGGATGTTGCGGGCGAAAAACTTCTCGAAGACGCCGACAAAAAGCCAATTCTCGTTAATACGAGATAGCCAGACCTTGGTCTCTGCTATGACTCAGGAAACAGCTGATGCGGCGACCCAAACAACAGAATTGATTACTTGTTCTGCAGTGCAACGAAAACACAGCCATTCACGGAAGATTACTTTAAAGATTCTGATGATAAAACTAGATTTTACACAGGATTACCGGACTTCCATTTACTTACTAAAACATTCGAATTTATTTCACCTTATGTGACCAGGAGGACAAAGACACTTTCTCTTTTCCAGGACTTTGTTATGGTCTTAATTAAACTGAGACTAAATGTACCATATCTAGACCTAGCATACAGGTTTGAAGTTTCTCTTTCAACTGTGTCGCGTGTCTTTAAAGCGTGGATGGAAGTATTAGATGTGCGCCTATCACCCTTAATATCGTGGCCAGAACGGGAAGAACTATGGCGAACAATACTCAGATGTTTCCAGTATACTTTTGGCAAGGCAACCACAAATCATCATAGATTGCTTCGAAATTTACATCGATCGTCCTTCAAATCTGTTGGCAAGAGCCCAGACATATTCTCATTATAAGAGCCACAAAACTGTTAAGGTTCTTATTGGGATAGCCACGCAAGGATCTGTTTGCTTCGTGTCAAAAGCCTGGGGTGGTCGAACGTCTGATAAATACCTAACTGAACATCGTGGAATGCTTAAGAATTTAAGGCCTGGTGATTTAGTCATGGCCGACAGAGGGTTTACCATTGAAGAGAATTTGTCACTATATCAAGCAAAACTCGCTATCCCAGCCTTCACCAAGGGGAAGAGGCAGTTGAATCCTGTCTCTGTCGAAAAGACAAGAGGAATAGCCAATGTACGTATACATGTAGAAAGGGTGATTGGTTTGT